TGGTGAGTTTTAACATTTTACACACTGTACGGAGTCTTAATGTACTACGAAGTATTTATTTTTTAAAAGAACAAGTTGTCTGGTAAAGTTGGAATTATTGTAGATAATTTTTGCTAAAAAATAAGAAGTGATATGTTAATAGTTTGTATAATGCGCAAAATATTAAAACCCACACGTATATTTTTATTTTACTTTTAACAATTTCAAGTTAGTTTCCATTGATTACCTTATTTATTTTATTATTTTTGTATCATTTTAGTTACATTTCTCATTTTTTCATTTTTTATATCTATTATTTTTATTTTTTAAACTAAGACTAATCTTTAAAAAAGGAAAAAGAAATGATGATGGAGGCAGAATTTTCTTTAAAGAAAAAAAATGAAAATTCATCAAAAATAATCCCAACTTTCATTTTGTTGCCTAAAACATGCATTTCCGTTAACCCTCCGTTAGAAACTTAACGGCGACCCAAAACTGGCAAATTTCAGTAAAGTTGGGATTATTATGCATCACAGTGAAATGTGGGATTATTTTTGAAAGGCCGAGTAAAGTTGGGATTATTTTGGGTAATTTTTTCTAAAAAAAGTAAAATTTGCATTGAATAGGACTAAAACATAAGTCATTTTCCAATGTAGGACTTAAATTTTTTTATTTTCTAAATAAGACTTAATAATGACTAATAGATAATGACCAATGATCTTATATTGGAAAATAAAAACATATGGTCCTATATTGAGAAAGTCATTATATTTTAGTCCTATTTAAGTAAATTACCCATAAAAAATTGTTAGTCATCTAATAGTACTTGAGTGAGTGGTTATATGATACAGTTGCATATACTAAGAACAAGATATAGCTGAGTAGTACTTATTTTAAAGTAAAGTGATACTCATTAATTCTCATACAAACATATGTATTCATTTGAAATAATATATTATTCATTCTGAAATAATATAGTACTCATTTTAAAATAATAATGTACTCATTTTCACACATTTTTTCTGATGGTGTAAATTATGACCATTATATCATTTTTAGCCGGGCAAAAATGATAAATTAGTCTAAAAAATACACCAAAATATAAACACAGGAATTTTGATGTCGAAACCTAAATCAGGAGAAAACCACGGACCCTTTTTAACGGTACCTTGCCAACGATGGCAGGGAGAGGGAATGAATTTGCCTCCTCTTCTTGGTGGAATACCTCTCTTCTTATAGGAGGGAGGGGGAGCATCTTCGGAGGAATATTCTCTTATTCCTTCATTTTACTAAGCAGACCTGGTTTGATTATTCTTCGTAAATAATTGAGAAATATGGATCAAGCCATGTATTTCCCATCAAGAAGTCCTCCACTCTTTTAAGTTGTGAGAATTATCAACATAAGAAAGTAAACAAGTCCTCTGAGTGCTATCTTCAGTCTTCTTACATTCCATTCTTGACCGGTTGATATTGTTAGTCCTCTAAGTCTTTTCCTTAATTCTTTAATTTCTTGAATCAGATGTTGTTCGTGCAAAAAATAATACGTACAAACTTCATGTTCCGGTCAAAAAAAAGAAATGTTGTACGTATTATTTTTTCCAGGAACAACATCTCATTCAAGAAATTAAAGAATTAAGGAAAAGACTCGGAGGACTAACAATATCAACTGGTCAAGAATGGAAAGTAAGAATGTTGGAACACACTTTGTACATTAAACTAAAGTCGTGTTCATTTCTGACAGGTTTTGATAATTGCCAAACCGCCGTGGATATGAAGAGTTTCGTTGAATAACTCAAGGCGTGAAGAATGGCTTGGAACAAGACCTAAAAGACTCAAGGACAAGATCAAGAATTGAAGACTTAGTCGAGTCGGTCTTTTGTGATCAAAACCGACAATTTATTCAAGTCTCGGTTCTCAAAAAGTCAAAACAATTTTTACAAACCATAAAACATTTTTT